ATCATTGTTGTTTGGCGGCCCGGGCTGGGGACTTGAACCCGCCACCTTAGGTGTATGTGGCTGGCACCTTAGCCGCTTGAGCCACAGGCGCCGAGCCTATTTCCTTTAGTTTTTCAAAATTACTTTGAATGTTCTATTGTTTTCTTTTCCATTTTATACAAATTTTAGAATCACTTTCTTGATTTTTTACAAAAGAAATCTTGCTGGGATTTTATTGAATTTTCATTGAATGTATGTATCCGTTTTGGGAGAATTGATAACAACATTGAATCTTTCTAAGCTATGAACACAGTATATCCCTCCATTTATTTAGACCTGCTTTGATTTCTTTCATCTGCACTTCTAGTTTTTGGCATATGTCTTGAATATATTAATTTTTGTATATTTACACTTGTGATTATATGTTTGTAAATTTCAATTTCATGTGTTTTTTTGATAATAGTATAAATGATTCTTTTTAAATTTTATCTTTTAATTGTTCTACTGCATAGAAGTAAGATCAATTTTTATGTATTGACATTTTTAGCCCTTTGAAGATTTTAATGTAAGCTTACTGAATCCAAAGAAAAACTTTCATTTTTAATATTTAAGAATGTATAAGTCACTGTCTTTGCTTTATCTTAGTATATTTTAAAATTTAAGTCAATATTACAACTTGATTTAATTGTTGTTCTATTAAAATTATTGCAACATATTCTAATGCAGACCTGAAATTACATATTTAGAGAATGAGATTCAACTGAGCAATATTTAAACGCTCTTAAAGAGTAACATTTTGAAACACAAACTAGTTTCCATTATTGGTTTCACGGTTTTATCTTATGTGTAATTGTATACTATCCATAAATATTTTTAATGTTTTATATATTATTTTGGATTTTTTTGTGTTTTCTATAAAACTGAAGTTTTTTAGTTTTTTTTTCTTTTTTTTTTTTTTTTGTGTGTGCGTGTGTGTGACACTGTATAGATTTTGGACTCAGTAAGGAGTCAGTAGATCAAGAAAAGAAGGCCTACTCATTTTGTGGTACAGTAGAGTATATGGCTCCTGAAGTAGTAAATAGAAGAGGTCATTCTCAGAGTGCTGACTGGTGGTCATATGGTGTACTTATGGTAAGTAGCATTATTTTTCTTATAGTATATGCCAAAAATATTACTAATGTTCATATCTTAGGATTTTATGTTAATTTAAATTTTGAGATGAGTTGGATAAGAAAGGAGTTCTGATAAATCTTGTGATTGGCTAGTTGCTATACAGTAAAAGTTAGGGTTTCGGTGTTCTGATTTCTTTTAAATTCACTAGATAAAATAAAATGCAAGCTGTGTTACATAAAATACAGATATTCATGTTTGAAACTTAAAAAAAGATCTGTCAGATTATAGATTTCAGAATTCTGAGTTTAGGAATTATATGGTATTTTAATTAGATATCATATAACTTAGCATCTCACCACATAATGTTTTATAGTTTCAAGCATTCCCAAGTAAGATTATAATCCTCTTGAACAGGGGAATCATGTCCCACACTCCTTTTCATCTCCCATAGTACCTAGCATAGTGATCATATAGTAGATGCTTAATGTAGACTGACTAATTTGGTATGAGACTAAGCATAGAATTTCTAGTAGTCAGTAGGATGATAGATAAATCAGATATAATTTGCTTTTGAAGTTTGATTCATTTTGCCCATTTGTCACTGAATGGCACACTGATACATCAGTATATTAAGTGCCTGTTATTTAAGCCTGGCATTTATGGAGGGCTGTGTGGTAGGAACTGATTCAAAGTACAATACTTGGTATTTTCCAAGACCCAAGAATGCCTACCATCTTGTTGGAGAAACAATTGGAGTAGCTTAATAAACTGTCAATAAGTACTTTAGGAATTCAGAGAAGACATAATAGGTGTGTATACAAATTGATATAAGAAAATTGGAGAAGTCAGAACTTAAATTAAGCAATGAAGAATGTATAAAATTTACAAGGGAGAGTCTATTTTGATCATAATAGCAAAGGGTTGGAAAACCAGTTTGACTGGACTAGTGGAGAATGAAGGTGGAGGAACTGAAGCAATAAACCTATAAGTATTTGCATATAATTCTGTGGGTATTAGGAAATTATTGTAGATTATTAAACAGGGTTAAAATTAGAGAAAATTTAATTTTTAGAAAGATTAGCCTTGGCAACAATTTGTAAGTGGTTTAGAAATAGAAGAAACTAGAAGCAGAAAGACCAGGAATGTTTCCTTACAAGACAATTGTAAGATTATAGAGTTAAAAAGAGGAAACTTTAAAGACATTTCAAAGGAAGAAGTGTCTAAATTTAGTAGCAAATTTGCTACCATGATGGTGGCATTTGGAGCCCCGGTGGCCTTAGCAGCAGTGGAGAGCAGTATGCAGGTGGAGCGTGTTGCCATGCAGGTCTTGGCCCCAAAGCCACTCCCTAGGCCCTTGCGGAGCCTGCATACGGCTCACTGTATCGGAGGCCCTCTGACCTGCACCCGAGACGTACTATTGGCAGAACCAGCGGACTTTGAGTCATTACTTCTTTCATTGCCGGTGCTGGAGGGGCTGCGGGCAGCCGGCTTTGAGACACCCTCACTGGTGCAGCTGAAGGCCATCCCGCTGGGGCGCTGTGGGCTTGATTTAATTGTTCAGGCTAAATCTGGCACTGAGAAAACCTATGTATTTTCCACCATTGCTTTGGGCTTTCTTGTTCTTGAAAATTTAAGTACCCAGATTATGATCTTGGCTCCTACCAGAGAGATTGCTGTACAGATACATTCTGTTATTACAGCTATTGGAATCAAAATGGAAGGCTTAGAGTGTCATGTCTTCCTTGGAGGGACCTCAATGTCAGAAGACAAAACCAGACTTAAAAAATGTCATATTGCTGTTGGATCTCCTGGCAGAATGAAATAACTTGTAGAACCGGACTATTTGAATCCAGGCAGAATAGATCTCTTTATTCTTGATGAAGCAGATACACTCTTAGAAGAAGGCAGCTTCCAGGAAAAAATTAATTGGATTTATTCTTCCTTGCCTGCCAGTAGACAGATGTTAGCCATGTCAACTACTTACTCTGAATTTTTGGCTAATGCTTTGACAAAGTACATGAGAGATCCCACTTTCATGAGACTGAATTCCAGTGATCCATGTATGATAGCTTTGAAGCAATATTACAAAACTGTCAATTCATATCCTTTGGCTCATAGGATTTTTGAGGAAAAGGCTCAGCATTTACAGGAGCTGTTCAGCAGAATTCCATTTAATCAAGCTTTAGTCTTTTCTAATTTGCACAGCAGAGCACAACATTTGGCTGATATCTTTTCTTCTAAAGGCTTTCCTGCTGAATGTATTTCAGGCAACATGAATCAGAATCAGCATCTTGACGCTATGGCTAAACTGAAGCAGTTTCATTGCAGAGTCCTCATTTCTACAGGTTTGATTTCCTGTGGGATTGATGCCCAGAAGGTGAATCTTGTAAATTTGGCTGTATCATTGAACTGAGAGACATATATGCATCAGATTGGCAGAGTTAGCCATTTTGGTACCTTGGGACTGACAGTGACCTACTGTTGCTGGGGAGAAGAAGAAGATGTAATGATGAAAATTGCCCAGAAATGTAATATCAACCTTATCCCCTTACCAGATCCCATTCATCCTGGTCTGATGGCAGAATGTTTGGATTGAGATGTGGAATTTAAAGCAGCTGTGGATACCTATGGCTTAGCAAATGTACCTACCCAACCCCTAAAAAAGCAAATTCAAAAAATGGAGAGAAACTTTCAAACTCAGAAAGCTCATGGTAACCACTTGGCTTCTTCTAGAAATACTTCTGTATCTGCACAATCAACCAAATAAAAAAATAATACCAAACAAAAACTTCCTTTGAAAAGCCACTCAGAGTATTGAGTAATAGAAAAAGCAATGTCTCCAAAAGAACTACAATTGGAAGAGCAGTTGAAGAGTTCTGTTCAGGCCCCTATTGAGAACTCTACCAACAGTCAGCACCAGGTCACAAATGCCTTACCAGTGTCACTCCCCCAAATTTCTTGTCTGTCTTCCTTTAAAAACCACTAGCTGTACACTTTGACTTTTGCAGAGTTGGTAAAAGATTATTAACACTATATTAAAGAGGGATTAGAGAAACCTGTGGAAGTCATTAGGCACTATACAGGTCCTGGGGACCAGACTGTGAATCCTCAAAATGATTTTGTGAAAAATAGAGTTCCTGGAGAGTCCAGATATTGGCAAGTAGTGACAGTGATTCTTACAGCTCAAGGACTTCATCCTAGAGCAAAGGAAATAAGTCATACTTGGAAGGCTCTTCAGATCCTCAGCTGAAAGATTCTGAGTCTGCTCCTGTGAATGGTTACATCCCTTTGGAACAACCTCTGACAGAAATGATCCTCCAATCTAGAGGAATATCAGGAATCCCCTGAAATCCAGACTAAGGCAAAGCATAAAGAGGGGGTTAAACAGAGAGCTAAGCAGAGCCAGAGAAACCTACCCAGATAGTCTTCCTATTAATTCCACACAGAACCCCAGGAAGATGGTTGTTGTGACTGTTACAGGAAAACACATCCAAGTGTTTCTGATACCTATCAGGATTATGAGTAGTCCTGGAGAGCTTACTACAGGGCATGACAGTCATATTATTGGAATGCTCAGAGACATCCGAATTGGATGGTGGCCTATCACATGAATACTATTTATCTACAGGAAATGATGCATGGTAACCTGTGATTATAGGATATACCTGAGTCTATCAGGAACTATCAAGTGATAGTTTAACCTTTGGATAGCCATCCTCCTTGACCTGTAGTACAGTGGTACATAGTGGCATTTTTGAGGAATATTAAAAGACTTGAGACTTTCCACTGGGATACTAAAATTTTTCAGATTGTTATTATTTAAGTTGGGTTGTATTATCTTTGTTTTTTAAAGAGTTTTTAAAGAAATTTCATCAGACTCTTGAAAGAATTTTTGGGACATAGAACTGAAGAAGATCCCAGGGTGCCATTTTTAATAAGATGTTCCCAAAATAAACATTTAAAATGATGGCATATACCACTGTTTACTTAAAAGGAATAAAAACAGTTGAAATTTTAATAAATAAATAAATTTAGTCGCAGATTAAATGACACAGGTAAAACAGAGGGGAATGGTCAAAGATTAAGATAACTAAAATTTATGAACTTTAGGTGATTTAAAGAATGGCAGGTTAGCAGAAAAGAAATAGCTGAAAAGAAAAGCTGATTTTGGAAGCAGGGAGAGAATTTATTTTTAACATGTTACACAGGTTACTACTATAAGTGGCTAACTCCTAGATGGTGATAAATTAGGAAGGGCAGTAGACAGAGAATCAACATAATTTGGAGACCTTATTGCTATAAACTATGTATGCTCAACTTTGAGTGTCTTTGAGGGAAATTATTATTCCCATACTGTATCCTTCCCTTCTTCTTCCTCTCCCTGCCACTCTCACCTCTACCACTCTAGTCCCTGGTGGTGAACCATTACTAAAAATTCTGGAACGAAAACTGGAGCTTGAGAAAGATTAAGGCTGATGCAGCAGATTTTAGAGTCATCAGGGTACAAGAGATAATTGAATGGATAAGCTAACTTAGCTTGTGAGTTCAGACAACTGAGTAGAAGACTGAGGCCAAAACCATATTGAGTCTAAGTTTGCAATTTAAATAATAGATATATGAAAAAATCTCTTTAATGAGTTATTATGCTCTTTATTTTTATACTATCATTTAATGTTTTAATTATCTACGTGTTTTGGGACAGAGTCTCACTCTGTCACCCTGGGTATAGTGCCATGGCATCATAACGTACAGCAACCTCAAATTGGGCTCCAGCAATACTCTTGCCTCAGTCTCCCAAGTAACTAGGACTGTAGGCACCCACCAGACTGCCCAGCTAGTTTTTCTAATTTTTAGTAGAGATGGGGGTCTCACTCTTGCGCAGGCTGGTCTCAACTCCTGAGCTCAAATGATCCATCTGCCTCAGCCTCCCAGAGTGCTAGGATTACATGGACAAGTATTAGTCATCATGCCCAGCCATAATTATCTACACTTCAGTCGTATCTCATTAGGGAAATGTTTTCCTTCTGCTATGTAAAACTGTCTTAATATTTTTCTTTTATAAAGATACTGGCTCATGTGAGTTGTGTTCTGCATCTTCTGCCTCTCTTTCTTTAGTTTTTGTTTTAGGAAGAGCAAGGAGAATGAGAATGGTTAAATCTTTCTTGAACATGTATGAATTTGAAAGAGTTTTGGGCTTCCTTTTCCTTTATTATTAAACACTTGTTTTAAAAGGCACATCAGTGTTTTAAAAGAAAAGGCCTTGTGTGTTATTTTCAAATTACTTTGACTTTGAGAACTTAGCTAAATTAGAACAGAAAAATATTGATTGGTTTCATGTGTGTATGTTTGTATACATATATATATTGTGAGGGTACCAGAAGTACATGTGTATGTCCTAAGGTGACCTGGTTTGCTGGACCCATTTTTATCCAATGTCATGTAGATCCTGCATGATTCAATGATAATGTAGTACAAGTCTCATTTTTTTTGGTAAAGAATTTTATTATATATTCTAAGTTATGCAAAATTGACTGTATGATTTTCTTTCTGTTTGTTGTAGTTTGAAATGCTTACTGGCACTCTGCCATTTCAAGGTAAAGACAGAAATGAGACTATGAATATGATATTAAAGTAAGTGTAAATGCTGTATTTTTCTTTTGGAAAAAAATTCTTTGCTTTTTGTTCTGAGAAATGTATTTTATTGTTTTAATTTATCACAAATATTTGTTTTATACTTTTTCTCTTCTCCTATCATATAGGGACATTATTTGCCATTGTTAGAAATTTTGCTAGGTTTAAGTGAAATGTTCTAAAATCTTCTTTTCCAGAGCAAAACTTGGAATGCCTCAGTTTCTTAGTGGTGAAGCACAAAGTCTTCTAAGGATGTTGTTCAAAAGGAATCCAGCAAATAGATTGGGTATTTATTTTCTTAACTTTTATACTATACTTTTGGAAGGATAACTATATCTTTCTGTTTTCTGAGTTTAAGTTTGTTACTACTGCTATACATTTATACCTGGAATTTTTCATTTTGTGCTTTCAGTCCAGAAACAATAAGTTCTATTATGTCCGTGACTTAAAAATAAAGTTGACCAGTTAATTAAAACTTCTGTTTAACATATATTATTATGTACAAAACATGGATTATCTATTTTGCAGTAATTCACAATATTTTCCCTTGTATAGGTAATCCTTTTAGGTATTTGAAGATCATTATTTTGTCTCAAAAAGTAAATATTATATTTCTCAAGCTACTTGCTTTTTGACCACTTTCTGGTAATTTTTCCCTATTTGCAAAGGTGACCCTATTATCCTATTTATACCCTATGTTAAAATTTAAGTGTCACTTTATTCTTTTGTACTTTGAATTTGGCATACAAATATGAGGTCATAAGATAAATTGTAAATAAAATAAAATGTACTTAAATTTTAACGTTCTGTTGAACATGCTTTTGATTTCATGGGAGACATGTATGATTCCATTTGTAGTTAAATACAAACATCAGGATTTTTTAATTATAGAAATGTGAAAAGATAAATTTATAAAATACCAGATAAGAAATCCCAGACTTTTCAAGGAATCTATGAAATGTGTATTTTTGTTTACAAATAGCCTGACAGCTAGGGATCAAGATTAAAGAAACCATACCAATAAAAAATTATTTCCATTTTTATAGGTTCAGAAGGAGTTGAGGAAATCAAAAGACATCTTTTTTTTGCAAATATTGACTGGAATGTAAGTTGAATAGCATATTTGTTATTGATTAACCTTGTATGAATAAGAGCAAAAAACTGAAGAATAAGTATTTTTTTCATTGTTTTAAATTTAGATAAGTCAGTGTAATGTTTATGTATTTCAGTGAATGAAAATTACTTTAAAATAATTCTCTATTAATTTTTCCCTACTATAGACCATAAGATTTTCAAAAAGAAAATTTTGCCCAAAGAAAAGAGACTTTTATATCAAATATACTCTATGCCTTTCAAAAACATATAAATTTTAGCATGTTAGATTGTTAGACAAGACTAAAATTTTGCATTCTATCAAAGGAGCCCTAAGCAGTACATTTACTGTATATTTTCATGTTAAATACAATATTTTAGATAAAATTTTTTCTTGAAAACAGTCCATTGATTTTGATAACATTGAGCATTATTACTTCTGCATGGTAACATTGTGATATATTCTGTATGGTATATTATAAATAATAATTCAACTCAGTTTTTGATACATAAAATTGAGCATTGTTATTTCTTGAAAATGCAATTTATGGCATCACTGTTGTGTTTCTTGGCCTGATTAGATTTTGGATATTATCTCTCAAAATTTTATAATTTATTAACAGATGTTTGAAGCCAGCTCAAATTTCTTTTATTAAGAAAATTGAATATTATGTTCTGTTCTACTTTAGAAAGCATAATGATTTTTAAAATCCTTAATATGTTTTTATGTTACCCTGTTGTTTCTTCTAGAAATTATATAAAAGAGAAGTTCAACCTCCTTTAAGCCTGCTTCTGGAAAACCAGATGATACTTTTTGTTTTGATCCTGAATTTACTGCAAAAACACCTAAAGGTAATGGATGTTTATGTGTAAAATTGGGAACTTAATTCTAACAGATTTTAAAATATAAACTTCTAAGTAAAAACTAAAAGAATGATAACTTTTCAGAGGGTTGGTTTGCTCTTTTGGAAGTATGGATCCTGTATACAACATTATTTGGGCATCCTTCAAGTAGAGGCTTTAAATGAGAAATATTTATAAGAGGAGCAGAGACAAGGGAAAAGGGTGGAAAGGATGGCAGGTTTTTTTTTTTCTTCTTCTTGTTTTATAAATCCTTTGACGTGGTATTATTTACAGAGTATGAGGCAGGAAGGTTTTTTTCTTCTTCTTTTATAAATCCTTTGATGTGGTATTACTTACAGAGTATGAGGCAGGAAGTTAAACATGAAATGTATTACCATAACTCTTACAGTTTAGAATTTAATGTGGTTTACTTTTAGTGGCGTGTGTTTTGTGCTTTCATTCAACAAATGTTGAATGACTACTACAAACTAAGCAATGAGGATATAGCGGTGAAAAGAGCAGACAATAATTACTTACCAAAAGGAACATGTATATAAGTGGTGGGAGACAGAAAATATAGAATAAAGCAAACATATAGTGTATCAGATGATAGCATTTATATTTTAAAAAATAGGACATTTTATGCCATAGATTACTGTGTAGTTCTAATTAAATCTAATTATTTGAGCATTAGATTCTCCTGGTTTGCCAGCCAGTGCAAATGCTCATCAGCTCTTCAAGGATTCAGCTTTGTTGCAACTTCTATTGCAGAAGAACATAAAATCACTCCTAACACAAGTTCAAATGTATTACCAATCGTTCAGGTAAATACCACCTAATCACATTATTTAGTTTAGTGATAATAATAAGGGGATAATTACTAATATTTATCTCAGTTATTGGTAATGTTTATTTTTTAGAGACAAGGTCTCTGTAGCCTAGGCTACAGTGCAATGGCACAGTCAGTTCACTGCAACTTCAAACCCCAGGGCTCAAATGATCCTCCTGCCTCAGCTTTACCAGTAGGTAGAACTACATCCACAGGACAGCACATCTGGCTATTTTTTGTTTTTTAATATTTGTAGAGATGAGGTCTTGCTATGTTGCCCAGACTGGTTTAAACTCTTGGCCTCAAGTGATCCTCCCACCTTGGCCTACCAAAGTGTTGGGATTATAGACATGAGTCACTAGACCTGGCTACTGGGTATTTAATACTTTTTTGAAAAAGTGATTTTTAACTATTTTGGTTTTTATCTTGATATAATAATGAATTAAAGATGTCTCCATATATTTTGAGAATGAGTTGATAGTAATAACCTTTAATTATATTTAGGTGGTCTTATTATGAATACAACGTAAAGTTACTGTATAAACTGGTTGATCTATTGTATTGGCCACAAGGATCCTGAAAGCCTATATTTTAAGATTGGTTTAGAATCTGTTTAAGCCACCGGTTCGCAACCTATGGGTCATGACCTACGGAAACTGTATTAAAGAGCCGGGGCATTAGGAAGGTTGAAAACCACTGGAAGCCATTTATATGTGTTAAAAACTTCTTTAGAATGATTTATTCTTGATTTATTTTAAGATGTAAGATGAATGTATATTTCGGACAAAAAATAGAAAATGTGAAAATGTTTCATTCTCTTCAGTATTTTTTTTTTGAAAAAACAGATAAATGGAAATGCTACAGAATTTGGTGAAGTATATGAATTGAAAGAGGATATTGGTATTGGCTCCTATTCTGTTTGCAAACAATGCATACATACAACCACTAACATGGAATTTGCAGTGAAGGTATTATCCCTGAGCCTAACTTTTTTGTTTTATGTATATAATTTAAATTATAGGTTAACTCACAGACATAGTCAGTAGAACAAATGAAGATAAGAAAGATGATGAAAGAGAGCTCTAAGACTTAATATTTTCATTTTGAATTACTTTTCATGGCTTTTTTTTGGAGGAACAATATATTTAATGTTTTCGGTTTGCATTTTAATAGTTTCTTAGCCTTTAAAATAAGCTTCATTGTAGAATAATTTATATACAAAAAAATAGCTATTTTAAGTGTACAATTCCACCTTTTGACAGGTGGTTATAGTTGTGTAACCACTACCATAATCAATATTCTCATCAATCCTAAAATTGCCCTCACAGCACTTGTAGCTGTTTTCTTTTTTTTAATTTCAGAAAATTAGGGGATATATATTTTGTTTGTATGCTTTGTTTTTTTATAGATTGAGTCAAAGTTATAAGTGTGCCCTTTACCCAGATATTGTGCACTACACCTCATAGGTATAAATTTAACGAATCCCTACCTCCCCTCTCATCCAAATTGATTTTCATTAAGATTAATGTCCAGGGTGGCACCTGGAGCTCAGTGGGTAGGGCACCAGCCACATGTACCAGGGCTGGTAGGTTTGAACCCAGCCCGGGCCTGCTAATACAAAAAAATAGCCAGACATTGTACTGGGCGCCGGTAGTCCCAGCTACTTGGGAGGTTGAGGTCAGAGAATCACTTGATCCCAGGAGTTTGAGGTTGCTGTGAGCTGTGACACCACAGCATTCTACCAAGGGTGACATAGTGAGACTCTGTCTCAATAAAAAATTAAAAAATAGGGTGGTGCCTGTGGCTCAAACGGGTAGGGTGCCAGTCCCCTATGCTGGAGGTGACGAGTTCAAACTGCATTTTTAAACAGAGAAAATAATTTCTTTTCCTCTGAGAATTTTCTCTTATTTCTTAGATCATTGACAAAAGTAAGCGAGATCCTTCAGAAGAAATTGAAATTTTGATGCGCTATGGACAACATCCCAATATTATCACCTTAAAAGATGTAGGTATTTTAAAATCTAGGCATCTGTACATTAGCTGCTTTAATTGTTTTTTCCTGATTCTGCACTCCTCTTCTTATAGAATATAAAAAGCAAAGAAGGATAGTTGATAAATGAGTCCTGATTAGTTATATATATTCTGGCTGGTTAACTAGTTAACATTATAATGAGCACCATTTTTTATTCTGTAGTACTATAAATGTAGAAGATACAGAGGATTGGAAATCTACCAAATTCTTGAAGATTTTACTTTTCTTAATTGCATAGCAGTTGGATGTAGCATTATGGATTATATCTTGAGTAAAATAGTACTTAGTCTGTTGTTTTATAAAATGAATATACAACTCATATTAGTAGATGTAACTGAATATTGACTTTTCACATAAGAAGATAATGTTCTTTTCTCTTTAGAGAAGGCAAAAAAAAATTAGCCATATTGATCAGTTTCCAATGCTATGATATGTACTTTAATTTGTAATCTTTAAGCCATAGTTAGGATGTTTATCTATAAATATATGTAACACATATATTATACATATATACACATAATGTGTATGTGAATATCACAAATCCCCTGAGTGAAAAGAGTATAAATATTTTTATTTAATAATCCTTGATATGTTATTTGAATTCAACAAACATTTAAGACACTATACCAGATAATGGACTAAGGGAAGGGTATTTAAAATAAATCCCATATTTAATTTCAGAAGGAAGCTTACTGTTACAGAGGAAAAGTTTCTATAATACAGCAAAAAATGAGGTATATGTTATTTGAGAGGCACAACATTCTGATTTTTTCATTTTCATTGTCTAATGAACTATAACCTACAACTTGAAGAACTAATAAAATTATAGGTTTAGCATGGTCTCTTAGGATAGTGTAAGTTGTTTAACTGATCAAACCTTCAGTACAGCTGGTATTACATTAACCATATGAGAATATTTTTTTTTTAACACTAGAGGTTTAATTGCAGAGAAAATACAATGTAAACATTTTAGATTTATAAATAATTACATTTTAAAACTTCATTCTTTTTTAGGTATTTGATGATGGTAGATATGTTTACCTTGTTACGGATTTGATGAAAGGAGGAGAACTACTTGATCGTATTCTCAAACAAAAATGTTTCTCAGAACGAGAGGCTAGTGATGTATTATATGTAATAACTCCACCAGTTGACTATCTTCATTGTCAAGGAGTAAGTTATCGTTATATTCTTCCTTTCAATTCTGGGACCTAAATCTTTATAAAACTATATATAAGACTTGATGCTGGCTCGGCGCCTATAGCTCAACAGGCTAAGGCGCCAGCCACGTACACCTAAGGTGGCGGGTTCGAATCCCCAGCCCGGGCCCGCCAAACAACAATGATGGCTGCAACCAAAAAATAGCCGGGCGTTGTGGCGGGCGCCTGTGGTCCCAGCTACTTGGGAGGCAGAGGCAGGAGACTCACTTGAGCCCAGGAGTTGGAGGTTGCTGTGAGCTGTAATGCCACGGTACTCTGCCCAGGGGGACAGCTTGAGGCTCTGTCTCAAAAAAAAAAAAAAAAAAAAAAAGACTTGATGCTACCTAAAATAAATTGCTTTTGTCTGTCACTTATATTTTTATAGAGAATATCCTAATAAAATTCATAATATAGTGAAGGTTATGAATTTAGGAAATTGCCTATTGGCCCTGATTTAATAGAATATGTGATACTAGTTTTAAAAATGGTTTGTATATAAATGAACTTAAACTTGACTTTGAAATTGTTAAACCTAAAGAAACTTAAAAGTGAAACATAAAAAAATTATCCAAAGACATATGGAGAATATTATTCAAATTATACAGTTCCTAACATATAAATTTCTAGCAGAAAGAGATCTATACAGGGTGCCCTATTTATGGACACCCTGTGTACCTTGAACTCTGCTAACTTCCCCTAAATACAGTAAAAAAAATTATATTTAAATATTTGATGTGTTAATGTATTAAATTTTGTGGTGGAGGGGCAGGCTTGTTATTTTGCTTCCTATCTGTTAATAAAGGAGGCAAATGAAGTAAATTTCAAAAAAAGTAAACTTTCATTATATATAATTTTACAAGGAAACGAAGTAGAAAATAATTTTAAAATTTTACAAGTTCGAATAAGTCATAATAGTGGATATGTTCCAACTTAACAATAAACAATAGAAAATGACAATTCCAAATTTATATAGTGAAAATTATGCATAGGTCCTTTTGATAAGTAATAAAAGTAAGCTAATACTCAGTTTTGTATGTGGTTTAGTGGAATATATTTTCAGTATTTTGAAATGAATTATATAGTGCCAAAGGACTATTTCTATTCTAATTTAATTCCTTTGTTGTCTTTATCAGCACTCTTTAAAGTAAAGCAAGACCAAAATTTTTGAAAGAAGTAAAATGATAAGCATATCTTATTATTTTATAAACCTTCAAGTTCTTACATTAGTTAAGTAAATTAATAACAGACACATATGAGCGTTTCCACATGCCAGGCCTTGTAAAAGGTGTTGCAGAATCAAATACAAGTAAGACTTGGTTCTTGTCCTTAAAAAGCTTTCAGTGTAGTAAAATTCTGATTAAAGGTAAGCCTAGATTAAATGACGTGAATAATTGTAGTAGAGAAATAATCACATATGGAATTTCAGAATTTTTTTCAGTTCTACATCTCTTTCTTTTTTCTTTGTTTTCTTGAGACAAAGTCTCACTCTGTTTCCTTGGCTAGCATGGCATAACTCCCTGCAATCCTCAAACTCTTGGGCTCAAGCTATTCTGCTTCAGTCTCCCCTGTAACTGGGGCTCTGAGTACACCATTATGCCCACCTAAATTTTATATCTTATGAAGAGACAGAGACTCACTATGTTGCCCAGGCTGGTCTGGAATTCCTGGTCTAAAGGTTATCCTTCTGTCTCAGCTTCCCAAAGTACTAGAATTACATGCCTGAGCCATTGCACCCAGCCCATTTAGTTCTTCATTGTTTGTATTTTTCTGCTGAGACTTGCTATTATTTTGCTGAAAGTGTCAGACAGCAAATTCATGTTATGTTTTACTTTATTGAGGATACTTGTAATAGGCACTTTAAAATCCTTTTTCTGTTAGTTCCAGTGTGGTTCATCTTAGAGTTAAAATTTATTGCATTTCTTTTATTTTGACACTGTGTTCTATTTTCTTGGTTCTTTTGATATCAAATAATTTTGGATGCTAAATTAACATTATAATATTATTATAGAAGTTTTTGCATTATGTTATTTTTCTCCAATGGCTATTATTGTTTCCTTTGTTTAAGTTGGTAATTTTCTTGGCTGGACTTGAACTGAAAACTCTTTTTGGGGGGCAGCAGTTCTAATCTTTATTCTTATTATTTGTCTTTATATGAACTGCTTTGACCCTTTTCCACGTATTTATTCAACTACCAGTTCTGGCTCTTTCCTTTACAGTATTTCCCCACTCAGCATTTACAATTTTCTTATATCTCTTTTGTAGTCCTCCAGACCAGAAAGACTGTGGGTTTTTCCACAATGTCTTCACCATCACTGTGTACCATAGGAACTCTACTTAACCTCAGGCTAAAAGCCACAGATTTGGGAACCTACTTGTATAGCTCCCTGTATTCCCTCCTTTAACCAAGAGTCTATCTGCATCAGTTCATTCTTCAGTACCTTCAGGTAGTTGCTTTTTGTATTATATACAGGTTTTATAATTGTTTACTGCAGGGAAGGGGTGTTGGGTAGGGTCTTACTCCATTATATCTAAAAGTGGAACTGAGAATTTAGTTTGGATATTTTTGAGATGGGAAATGATTAACAAAATTGGTGGCTTGAATAGAAACTAGTGAATGCATCCATCTGATAGATGTCCTGTGTATATTTTGGGCTTTTAAGGTTAAAAAATATGTCATTTTCAGCTCGGCGCCTGTGGCTCAAGTGGCTAAGGCACCAGCGAGGCAGAGGCAGGAGACTGGCTTGAGCCCAGGAGTTGGAGCTTGCTGTGATCTGTGATGCCACGGCACTCTACCCAGGGGGATAGCTTGAGGCTCTGTCTCAAAAAATATATATATGTCATTTTCAAAGTCTTGTAATGGGAAAAGTTTCTTTTTTTTAGATGTACATTTAAAATGTTTTGTAGATATTTAGTTACAGAAATTTAATGCTGGTTTCTTTTATGTTTGAGGTTGTTCATCGTGATCTTAAACCTAGTAATATTTTGTATGTGGATGAATGGGCCAATGCAGACTCAATTAGGATCTGTGATTTTGGGTTTGCAAAACAACTTCAAGGAGAAAATGGACTTCTTTTAACTCTATGCTATACTGCAAACTTTGTAGCACCTGAGGTATGCTTTAAAAACTTCATTATTTTTATATAAAATCTTTCATTCTTTTCCTTTACTTGAGCGTATGCGATATCGTATATATGTTACAGTAGATAGATAAAAGCTGAGTTATCTTACTCTTTCACAACTATAAAGCAATGTGTTAATATTAGTGAATTTCGATAATCCATAATATAAATATTCAGACTAGCACCTGCCATCTAAAACCAACCTGAATGTAATAATGAGACTCTTTTTTTTTCTGTTGAGTTATATAGTAATCTAAGAATCATATCATTTTATAACTGAAAAGTAGAATAAAGATAGCTACAACTTCAACATATTACATATATTAAATGAGGAAACTGAGGTTCAAAGTACTTAAATGACAAATCACTTATTCAAGACCCAACATTCACTTAGTAACAAAGCCTGGGTAGATTTTCATATATTTTAGTTTATGCTGAACATGAGATAGTTTATATCAGTTAGCATTATACATAACATGTGGGGCACTGCCATCCCCTGTTATCTTTAGGATCTATTAATTCCTGGATAAAAAAGCCTCACTGGGATTTTTTTATTTATCATCCTTAGAGATTTTTCTTGGCACATAATGTTTGTACACATATTTCAGGGGGAAGAACTAGGAAATTTGAGACTAGAGGGGCTCAGTGTACACATTTACATTTGGGAATCTACAACAATGAGTTTTGACCATGGGAATGGGTGTTATGACAGTATCAAATTCCATAGCAGTGAAGGTAGGGTTGGGAAAAAATGAATCAAGGGATGGCATTGACCGTATAAATTTTTATGAGAATTTTATTTGTAAGTCAGGAACTCTTTATGTATGTTATGCATAATGCTAATAGGCATAAATGACCATATGTTCAATAGAAATCAAAATACCTAAAATCCTTCAGGTTTGAAAAAAATCAGTCGCCAAACCAGAAGCATAGTAACATAATGTAAAGATGAATATCTATCTCAAATATATATGTATTTTAGGATTTTATTTTTATATCAAATATTAGCCTTTTCAGGGTAGTATCAGGTAATACTAGATATATCATTATAAGCTATTTGTATTTTAATATAAATAAGTTAGTATCAATCAGTCTATATTTTAAAGTAGCTACTAGAAAATATTTTTTTCCAATTATGAAAATAGAAAAATAGTTTTCTGCCAGTGGCTTCCACTATCCCATCCTCGTTGCTGCTTGTTGGGGCTGGGACTGGCTAGGTCTCCAGCCCCAGCTTATCTATTGTCCGGACACAGTCCACTGTGCTACCTTGCTCGGGATCAACTCCCCTTAGGTGCCTGAGGGCTATTCATTTTAGCAGAAGGGAGAGAGAGAGAAACAGTCTTTGAGGGAGAGAAACAGTCTTAGTAGGAGAGTGAATTTTAGTAGTCTTTGTAGGAGGGCACCAGATGGTGCTCTCTGAGTAGGAGGAGTGAAAGAGTTAGAGTGAGTGAGTCTGTGAAAGAATGAGAACTAAACCTGGACTAACCTCTCCTGCAGCTACTTACAGATGTGATCCTGTGGCTATTTGTACCACCAGTGTAGAAACTGCCAAGTACTGATATTCTCGTCTCCCCTGTTCTTGTATTAAGGAAAGCTGAATCCCTTCCCCATGCCCTTATCACCAAGGTGTTACCGAGATGTTATATCACAGGTGTTTTCTTATATTTACAGAGTGTTCTGAGCTTAATTCTCGCTTCTTCTTTATATGGTCTGCTACATATTCCCCCTGTTTATGTATTTTAAGATAATTTCTAGTATGGCAAGGGCAATTGTGCTTGTTGTTCAGCCCTTTCCCTTGCTCAGCAAAAGAATAAAGAATATAAGATGATTATCAAGATTCAGAACTCCAGGTGGGAGGCTCTTTAAAGTGACAGTGCCCCTTATCTAAACTCAAACTTCAGCTCCCACTGTGGAAAAGATAGTGATTAAAGTATTATTTTCTTTAAAAGTCTTCAAACTGGGAAAATCTTTATCTGAGAGAGTACAATTTCCATTTCATCTATTATAAATTGTTAAATGCCAAAGATCTTGCTTCCCTCCTGAAGCTTTTCCTTTTCTATATGAATTGTAATTAGTGGACGAACAAAGGTCCCACTTTTCTTGTGGCCTTTGTTAGTGAGGATCTTACTGCATTCACCACCTTTTGCTACCTTTGCCAGTAGCTGACAACCAACAGTCCCACTTTTCTTGCGGTCTTTGGTAGCAAAGATCCTATTGTTTTCACTGCCCTTTGCTACCTCTGCCTTTAGTAGCTGGCAAACTAAAGTACTGCCTTTTGCCACTTTCTGCCTTCAGTAGCTGGCGAACAAAGGTACTGCTTTTCTTGAAGAGTTTTTCCTTGCTAGTTGAATCCAGAACTTTTTTTCAAATGGAGTATCCCTACATGGTTCAAAGTTTGCTTGTCTGATTCTGTACAACCTTTTCTTACTCCCTCTTGCCATCTTCTGAAGGGTTCACTTACTCCAAGTGTCTTTGTCTCCTTAGTCTGTGTCCATGCCCTCAGGTGGGACACACCACATGGTACAAGCGGACAAGAAATGGGTGATGTATAGGTGTAGGATACACAAAAAAAAAATAATTTGGTTTATCTATTTTCTCCTCCATTGTCATTTATTGGTCTGGTTTAATTTCCCCGTATTTCTTTGGGGTAGCAAAGGTCTGGCACACTGAAGGCAGGATCCTCCCTTAGCATAGAATAGAATGAATTATATTGTTTTTCCAAAGAATAGTTTGAAATGCTGATTTAATTTACTGATTTAACTTTCTCAGAATCATCTCTGGAGTGCCAAAGATCCAGCACTCTGTGGGAGGATCCTCCCTTGGCATAAGATTGAATGAATTATAGTGTTTTACCAAAGAACAGTTTGAAATGCTGGTGTTATTGAAACTGTGTTGTTTTAATTTCTTTATTCGTATCTTTTACCAGTGAATACTGATGAGAGCCCTACTGATAATTTCCCTGCAATAAATATGTTCCATTGTCATTAAATTAAGAGCGGCAGTACTTTTTTATGGAGCATACACCTAGAAGTTTATTGGTTTTTGTTTCCCTTGATCACTAAAAAAGAGATCATACTTTTCATTGGATTTCCATATTCTTTCCTTTTTCCAACATTCTCTGCTCATGTGGTCTAGTTTCCCACACTTATGGCATTTAATTCTGATTGGGAGATTTCTTAACTGGTCTTCTAACTACTTAATCTGAGTTGCCATGATGATATCACGTTTATAGGCTTCAACTGTAAGATTATTTATCTGGTCCTCCAACTATTTAACCTTGTCTTTTAGCTATTCATTTTGATCTTTTATCTCATTTGCCATGATTTCTTTTTACACCTTTTCCTGTCGACCTTTCTTTTGCCTTTTACAATCTTTCCCTTCCAAATAGAACCTTTGACTGCCTAAAAGGACAGGGGCATTGATCATTCCCATGCTACTTCCTGCTGAGAGTGGATGTTGATACCGGGGAAGGAAGTTAGAGGTACTTTTCCCTAACTAATGAGCTCTTACAGAGTGTTCCCAAAATTCTTTTCTCTTTTTCTTTTTACTTTTTACATATTTCTTCCTCCCCTTGCTATTTTTATCTGCTGAAGGCTATTCTCTCCCCTGAGT